TGGCATGTTTTTCAAGCGGTTCCAGTGGCGGGGGTCATGGCATCGTTACGACGTCTGCGCTCCACTGGTACAACACCCACCAAAGACGGGGCGTTGAAAGGGTCGATCGACTTGACCGAGCGCACACTGCAGTCGCTGGAAGCGATGCCACGAGATTGCCCGACGACGGGCCGTGCCACCGCATCGCGCGATTCAAACCCCCGACCTCGCGGTACTGCATGATGGCAGCCATGTCCGTGCTGGACTTGTTGCACGAGTGGCTCACGCTCAACGACGCGCGGTACACCGACCACCGCCTATACCAACGCACAACCGACGAAACAGCTCCTTGCAACGTGTGCTGGCAAGTTATCACAGCATCTCTGTCGAATCTGTGGGCAGCGTGCGCGGGGCAACCCCCTCTTGCATGACTAACGTGCTGCAAGAACTGCATGCGATGGTGGCTCGAGGGAGATCGCCGCAGCGCGTTTGCACGCGGCGTCACCACTCTCTCCACGTTTCCTAGCCAACTCGTTCATGACATGCAATTCCAATGCCGATGATCGGGCACAGGTGGTGGCAAGGCCATCGTTGCCGCGAGTGTGGCTGCACCAGCATGTGCTGCGACAATGTGCCCGCCCGACCGATCGATCGCAACGTCCCCCTGGCTAGCAACTGCACGCAACTCGGTCGTCGTCGCACGCTTACTAGTTAGCCTGTCGTCCGAGGCGCTGACGCGACGGTCTCGTGAAGCGGGCGGGACGTTCTCGCCATGGTCCTGTGTCGATGCTGCGTGAAGCGCCATCGACGAAGAAGGACAGTGCTTGGCATGTGAAGCGCCATCGACGAAGAAGGACATGGCTTGGCATTGAATAAGTTATGGGGGTCGCGGTCGCCGGCTCCACACACGCGGTACAGCATGACGCGGTCTCGAGTCGTCCATGAGGCGGGGCTCGCGATCGGGTCGTCGTTGAGCTTGATCGCGACTTTGAGGGCATCGAGCCACTCGTACATGTCCCGCTCGGACACGGCCGACAGAAAGTACCGCGCCGTCGGCGTTTGAATCGCAATGCGCCATTCGGTGGCGACGGACCGGCCCGTCGTCGGGCAATCTCGTGGCATCGCTTCCAGCGACTGCAGAGTGCACGTGGTCAAGTCGATGCTGCCTCTGAGCGCGCCGTCTTGGTGCGTGTACCAGTGGAGCGCTGACGTTGTGAGGATGCAATGGCGCGGCCGCCACTGGAACCGCTTGAAAAACATGCTGCCAGAGCACGTCATCGTAAACAGTGTGCCGCGTTTGACGCTCATGCGAATTGGAAAATGAGGTGGGCGGCGACCGACGTCAGCCACCGCGCATCCAGTTGTTCGCGACACATGGCCGCCGCACCCACATCATCTGCGACAGACATCACGCCGCGCTTGGCGTTATCGCGGTATCATGCGCGTTGGAGGTCATGGAAACGAGACAGCAGCGCTTCGCCTCCTCGCGTCGACAAGAGCTCGTCGAGGGGGTTTGCACACGTGTGGCCTGGCTGTCCCATCGGATCGTAAATAACACATGCCGAGCTGGCCCATGCGACGACCGTAATTGAGAGTCGCGGTGGCGCTGCCAAGTTGGGTTGCTGCGCGCGCGTAGAGGCAAGGTGGCGATACCGGACAACCTCGTCGACGCGTTTCGAGCCGGAGCCGGGCGACGGTCGCCATGCGGTGCAGGGATGGATGCACCACCACACGCTCTCCCCGTCGTTCGGGCAGTCGACACGATCGCCATGACGGTGCGAATGCGACACAAAGCATCGCGTTGGGCAAGATAGGGGGGCTAGATATGCCCTTGCCTACGGCGAACGAATCGACTGGTGCGACGCCCCCCCCCCGCGACCCATGCGCGCCACCAAGGTCGTGCGACCCAACGGAATCCACGGCGGCGGGTGCAAAGAAAGGGCCCAACTAGTCGTGTAACTTGCCGCGCTCAAGTGGGTGATGGCTCGGTCGCGAGGTGGATGGAATCGCGCCAGTGGCGTCGATGCCTTCGTCCATCGACGGTATGGCGGCGCTGCCAGCGACGACTTGACGACGTGGATTGCGCCATGCGTGTGCGCGAATGACATGGATATGGGGGGCGTGCTAGCGGCACACCCAACGGAACCACATGCGCCACATATCACGATGATTATCCGACCGGTCGTCGTTCTCGATGGCAGTGCTGCCTGGATGGCTCCCTCGATGCACATGGCGATGTTATGTCTGCACGTTATGGGGACGAGGCCGACGTGGGGCTGCGTTCGGGAGGATCGTCGTCGACGGCACCGGTCACGGGGTCGAGAGGATGTTGGGCAGCGTTCGCGCTTGGTCGTGCCAAACGGCGCAGTGCTTCGCGATGCGCGAGGAACGCGTCAAAGTGCTGCGTAGGGACGTCGGCGAGCACGTTTTGCGCCGTCGCTCGCCGCGAAGCCCACACGGGGCTGCACCCCTTGTCCGCGCCCGAGTAATACTCGACGCGAAGGTAGCCTTTTTGGGGAAAGTTGCCGGGCGCGAGCCACGACATGTTGAGGACCCAGCCCGGCATCGGCGACTCGCGATCCCATCCAAAGGTCGCGCCCTGCCAGTTTTCCCCTACGACCCACGCGCGTGACGACGCACGCCGCGGCGGCAACGACGTACCTGGCTCGTCCATCGCGAGCTGCACCAGCATCTTGGTCACTTCGCGCTGTTCGTAGATGGCCAAATCGAGCTCTGGCCGCCGATCGATCAGCCACAAGCCACGTCGTCGACGATGCACGCACCATAGTACAGTTCTGGAACGAGCGGCGACCACAAGTTGAGCCATCCCACGCGAAACACGACCTGCGCGACTTCGCTGTCGGTCATCGCGGTAAAGAGTTGGGAAAAGTGGACAAGGTCGACGATCCGGTCAAACAGCATCAGCGCCTGCGTCAACGTCAGCCGTCGCGCCGCGACCGCGTTTTCTCTCACCGCATCGACTTTGGTCGTGCCAAACGCGACCGGCCACTTGGCCAGCACGTACAGCGCCTGCCGCGTCGTCATCCACCGCGCGCAAAAGAGCGCTTGGAGCTCGAGGAGCAGCCGCCGCCCGGAATACTTGACCTGGCCGCCGTTCGGTCAATACACACGGCAGCAGCACAAACGGTACCGGTTCGGCGCCGCCGCCGTGCTCGCTGGGCCGAGTAAACTCGACGGGGGTCGCCATGTCTCGATTCTAGCCACACGTTCGTGACGACGATGCCGCGCGAGGGGGGTCGGCACGTACGTATAAGTCGGGCACACGAACGAGAAAGCGCTGGAGGTCGATGAGGTCATCGTACACGCGGGGGTTGAGCGCGCGGACAGCAGGCGTCGGCGCGCGGCGGAACGACAGCGGGACCGCCATCTCCATCCGATCCAGGTACAGCTTGGACACCACCTGCTTGAACCGGTGGTCGCTCATGGGCAAAATGTCTGCATGTTTGCCGTCAACTCGACGTTGCGGACGGCGGCGGCGCACCTGGCACGGGCCGATAAAACTGGACAAAATCAAAGTCGACCGTGCCGTAGTGCGGCAGCGCGTCGTAAAAGGACGGCGTAATCACAAACGGTTTGTTGTTGTACAGCTCGTTGCGAAACCCCGTCCCGTTTTCGTGCTGGCTCGTGTCTTTGAGGTTCTTGGTGCGGCGGTAGTGCATGAGCTTGTTGTTTAGCTCCATGATCTACCCACAACAAGCGAGACGTCGATGGCATGGACGAACGCGCGGCGGCGGTACCTTTTTAAACGACGCGCGGTCGTGCTCGTCGCCCAAATCGAGCGTATAATGCCCCGTGGCCATCCCGACAATCGGGCCGTACCTATGTCGATCCAACGGCGGTCAACGAGGTCAAACCCGCCGCCGACGGGGGCTCGTACATGTCGCGCAGGTGGGCCTGCAAGCGGAGTCGTTGCGCGGGGGCTGTGTTGACCTCGATCAATGGAATCGCATGGTTGGCATCGACCTAGCGATGACGACGTGAGCCCGGCAACGTGCGCGCACATACCACTTGAGGCAGCACGACCACGAGCGCGTCGACGATATCCATCCGCTTGACCATCGTGTTGAGCAAGAGCTGCGCTTCGGCCTGGCGCAAGTGCATGTTTTCTAACGCCCGCATGGTCATCACGGCCGTCGATCGACGGCCACCACGTACTCTTGGCGAGCTCGATCAAGTCGATCTGGTTCGGGTCGTTCGCGATGTTTTGAATCAAGAGCTCGACGCCTTGCTTCGACACGGTCTCGTCGGCCTCGGACGGGATGTGCAGGTCGAGAAACTCGACGTGGAGCCGCCCCGTGGTCGGGATCGCCAGCGGCAGCCCCGTCGACGCGTCGACCCATTCCGTCGTCGGTTTGTTGTCAAAGTAAAATTGCGACATGAGGTCGAGGAACTCTGGAAACTCGATCGTGCCGGTCCCGTCCAAATCGTACCGCGCGACCATCTGCGCGGCGTCGTGCAGCGTGAGGGCGAGGCCCTGCGCCTGCATGCCTTGGTGCAACTCGGCCGCGTCAATCGTGCCCGATCCGTCCGCGTCGAGCTCTCTAACCACCCCTCGTCGAGACGGCATCTCTCGCGCGCAAACAAACGTACTGGAACAGCGCGGCCAGCTTGTCCGACGCCATGCGACCTCGCAACACGGCGTGCGTGGTCTTTCGTGCGACAAGCTTGGC